CTGTCTGTCTGTCTGTCTGTCTGTCTGTCTGTCTGTCTGTCTGTCTGTCTGTCTGTCTGTCTGTCTGTCTGTCTGTCTTAATGACGACTAATTGACTGTTTTTCTATGGACGTGCTTCTCTGTACTCAAACAAACAAACTAACAAACATACAAAAACAACCACAGATAAACACGTAGTATTTCCGTGGTTGTGCTTTATTTCATTGCCCTCTTTCTTTTCCCAATACTGGCACAGAGCCGACTCATCCATCGTAACCTGTAGCTATGTGTAAGAGCACCTGTATGTGTAAGAGCACAGAATAATGCACAGGAAATTGATAACAGTACTTAACTTCTTTACCGACATTTTATCCCCATTCTGATTTAACAGAACCTTTCCTTAGCCGCGGAGAAATCAGCGGAAAAATCAGATTAAAATGACGTGTTCAGCAAATAAAAGAAAACCCAGCCTGTTATTAAAAAACAACTACAGCGTAAAAAAAAAAAAGCCAACGAAAAAAAAAGCGCTCGCAAATACCAGGTCCATGTCAAAACAGACACACCCCCGTTTCTTAAACCAAAGTTCCTATCTTTTTTGTTCCCCTTGAAAGGTTCCCTTTTGCTTTGGTAAAACTTTCCGCGTGGGGTTGTGACCCCCGCATTACGTCACTCAATGACTGTAACACTGGGGGAAATCTCTGGAGCGTTGTGTCTAGTTTTGGCTATAAGGCTATTCCACGATAACTGACGAGACAGATAAAAGTACATATCCCTCATTTCACATTTGTCCCGTCAGTTTACGAATCTAAACACGTTACAGAATTTGCATAAAGTCCTTTTTTTCAAATGACTGCATTTGATATGATTCTTGATATGTCTTTCAAATGTTCTGATGATTTAAAGTTGAAATAAATAAATTTATATTGAATATTGAGTTACAGTGCTACAATTGTAAGAAAGTATAGTGCAAATGTCCCGTCAGTTACCGTGGAATAGCCCAATACAGAGTAGAGTAAAAAACACACGAACAAATACCTAGCCTTGGGCTTTCAAGGCTGTAACCGGTATGCTGCGGTTTGCGGATCTAAGTTAAAGTGCAGCGAGTGTCCGACTTTTTCTAGGCTTATTTTTTGGAGAGAACTGAGAATAAATGTAAGAATTTTTCATGCAACTTTTGTTCTCTCTCTGTCTCTCTCTCTCTCTCTCTCTCTCTCT